CATTGCATGGTGACTGTCAGTTTATTTCATAGTCTGGCGACTGTTTGACACGTGAGTCTGACAATCTAGTACTGATTCCTATGTCTGCACTGTCTCGATCTGTAAACGTCTTATTTCCGATGTTGAGTCCGTGCGATAAGTTTGCTGACTACCAATTTTCACTATTTCTTTATACATAGATGAGATTCATACCATCAATAAAATCGTCGCCTGACGAATTTACCACCCAGAATGAAAACTTCCCTACCCAGTTTTCCATCTTGTCATTCATTTACCCCCCTCCACCTCACGGTGGAGTAATGGATAATGACTTGGACTGAGAAATCGGAGAGCCGAGTTCGAATTCCAGTCGAATCCATTACATTCACTTACGTGCTAATACACTTGGGAAAGGTGTGGATCCTCCTCTTCTCCTTCCAGCTATAGGTAAATAGGTAAATAGTAGGACAGACTGGGTTCTATAGCCTTGGATAGCAAATGGTCTAGGACAACTCTGAATTCAAAACCTGCGGAGGGTCGTTTAGGGACCCTACGGCACGTAGTGTACCAGATCTGTGTATTCAGTCCTTCAAAAAGTGTGGATTGTCCTGTGCGAACCCTTTACCACTATAATCAAATCTCATGTGCTGTTGTCGGACTGTCGGTTTCCTAGGAAGTTATCTTCTTGACCCTCGTACGTTGAATTCGACGAGAAAGTCAAGTAAATGCTTTTAATTTAATTAGAAAATTAAATTCAAAGATTTCAGCTTCCATTTTTGAAACATACGTTAATACTGTGTAGCGACAAAACCATATTTTAAATCAGTTAATTTATAATATTAATGCTCTGTAAATTTACATTGAGCACTATTTTGTAAAAATAAAAATACCAATAAGAACACCGGATTATATATTTTACTGTTCTTTCTTTTTATATATATATATATATATATATATATATATATATATATAAAAGGAAGAGGTTATAGTTGTTATTAAAAAAGAAGAGAGAAACCCACATGTTTTTGGTTGTAATGTGTTTTTTATTTTTTATTTTTTCCATAATTTTGCAACACGTTTTTGGGGTCGCGCGACCTTCTTCAGGCAAAGGATACTTCCATATGTTATTAAAATGAATTTTCCTTATGTTTTTTATATTAAACATTCTCTTTTTTTGAGTGGTTATATATATATATATATATATATATATATATATATATATATATATATATATATATATTAGAGCAGTTCACCTCAAGTAAGGCTGGAGTGCTACTAGTAGGCAAGGGGTTACAGATAAAGTCTTCGCTACAAAGCTAGCAGTAATCGCTGAAATGTACGTTTCCATAGAGCATAAATGCAGTCAAATGCCTATCGAAATATTGATTGTGGCTTGTGATTTCATTGAGTTGCGTTACCAGCAATGTCTGGATCATAACAGGCATTCATTTGAAAACGTGTGATGAAAAAATCTTAAGTTTATGCATTTATAATAAACACATTCTTCACATACCTTATTTAAATTAGATATAGTTGGTTCTAGTTGATTGATTTATATCTTGAGTAAAATTTAAAATAAGTATAAATCTTTTTGAAACACCCTGAATATATATATATATATATATATATATATATATATATATATATACAAATATAGATAACTATACTTGTTTTGAAAAACCCTCGAATTTTTGATTTGCCAATAATCAAATCAATCTCGAGGGAAAAAAGGTTTAAAAAAGAAAAGAGCTAGAAACATGAAAGTCTGTCGAAAAAATCGCACAGATGCAGGTTTGAAGCCCAAAGAAAAAACCCTGATACGAGTAAACAACTAAACAAAAGAGCTCAATACAACCGTAGAGCAGACCTAGATACATTTAGTGAGTTAGACAAACCTACCTGGGTTACACCTAAACGGATCGTCAGGGAAAGCCGGCTTTCCCTAACGATCCGTTTAGGTGAAACTTTAGGTTTGTTTGTCTAGGTTTTTTCTCTTTCTTTCTCTCTCTCTCTCTCTCTCTCTCTCTCTCTCTATATATATATATATATATATATATATATATATATATCTCTCTCTCTCTCTCTCTATATATATATATATATAGAGAGAGAGAGAGAGAAAGAAAGAAAGAAAGAAAGAAAGAAAGAAAGAAAGAAAGAAAGAAAGAAAGAGAATACCCGGTTGAGTAATAGATAGCGACTCGGATTGAGGAATGGATGAGCCGAGTTCGAATTCCAGTCTCATCCATTATATTCAATTACGTTCTAATACCCTTAGGAAAGGTAAGAATCCTCTTCTTCTTCTTCCAGCTATGGGTAGGTAGAAAGACACTGGGCTGTATAGAAAATGCATTATATATATATATATATATATATATATATATATATAACGTATTTTCTGCTGTAAATACAGCGAACAAGGTGCATATAACGATCTACATTTTCTTGCAAGTTTTAAAATTTTCCATTTAACTTTAGGAGGTTTATTTTCATCTTTCAACTTCCAAAAATATTTTAAAATGAAGTATTATTTCTATAAGTAATATAAGTAAAAAAAAAGAAAAAAAGAATGTGCTGATACCATCGGGTTTTAAAGGTATTCTTAGTACTACCAATATAAACATTTTGAAACCTTCGGATTCGCGTTAAAAGAGGTTGTATGTGATTTTAAATTTAAAATTTCAATAAATCATCTCATAACCAGTTGTTTATTAACGCCTGATGAGATGTGTTGGTAAACATCGAAACTTGATTGCATTTATATAGTGTTTACTTTCATGTTGACGTAATTATAAAGAATACCACTCTATTTTTGTATTGAGCCCTCTTTTAAATTAATGTTACGAACGTTCGAATTTATATTCGATTCGTTCTCATTTCATATATATATATATATATATATATATATATATATATATATATATATATATATACATATATATAGGCACAATTAAGTAAAGGATTGCGGCTCGGATTGAGGAATTTTTAAAAACATTCAGCATTTTAAGAATACCATGATGTAGCCGATGAAATCTTGCCTAGCGCACAGATAACAAATGGTTCTTGAAAATTACTGAGACGATCGAAAATACTGAATAAATTTGAATTTCGGACAGTTATCAAAATTTCGATCCCAATATACAACATTTTATTTTTATTTCGACAATTGGAAAAATACAAAAAATAAAAAAAAATTACAACACAATATCAATTGAATTTAATCAAATTTTGAGGATGAATATTTGCTGCCTAAATATACCTCATACACACACACATACACACACACATATATATATATATTTATAATTATTTTTAAAGATATGATTCCATCGTGACACAGAAATTACTGTTTCCAAACTGACTCAAGTCTTAAATTTCAATATTAAAGTTAAAATTTAGAGTACAGTTTCATTCTCAAGCGATGTTTAGAATAACTAAATGTAGAAATGTTTTACTCATTTATAGGTTGGAAATGGAGATAGAATCTGTTTTTTTTCGCGATGGAATCATATTTTAAAAAAATAATTATAATTTTACGCTTTACTTCTGTATCGAACACTTTTAAAAAAAATAAAAATATAAATACTAAAGAACTTTGGATTATTAATCTAACTGTTCTTTCCTATTACATCAATAAACACATACATACACACACTCACACACACAAAAACACCCCCCATTTATATATATATATATATATATGAAGAAATATATATATATACTTTAAGAGGTTTATTTTCACTTTTTCCAAAATATTTTTTACGTATATCACCACTATATGCCTATCAATATGTATGTATTGTGTAGGCAATGGCTATCGTTCTAAATTAAGTCCTACATTTATGTTGGCCAATCAACGATTTTCCCGTCTGATCTGAAGTAATGGTCTGACTGAATCTCCACGTAGCGGAAGTCGCTTTCAATGGTGTGTATTCATCGTCACTTGACGCTCATAAATTCATTGATTTGCATCTCATATTAAACA